CCGCCCCCGCCCTCCGCGCGCGCCCGCCTTGCGCCCTCCGCTCTCGCGCCCTCGCGCTGGGGGCGGGCTCGCTGCGCGTGCCGGGTGGGGAAGCGGCGCGAACCCGGTGTTGGGAACGTTCGCCGCGGTGGCGGCTCCGGGGCCTGAGCTACAGCCGCCTCAGCCGAGGGGGCCTGGGCCTGAGGAGGCTGCGGCTGCACCGAGCTCCCGACGTCCCCTCAGTGCCGGCCGGGAAGAGAGCCAGGTGGGGAGTGCGCGGGTTGCGGGAGCTCGGATCGGGGCTGGAGCCGCGGGAAGGAACCCGTACGGCGCCGGGGACCCTCGGGCGGGCGGTGGAACTCGGCCGCGCGGCGCGGACGCCCCGCGGGCGTGGGGAGGGGGCCACGGGGCGCGGAGCCGGGCTGCGCGCGACCAGCCGATGCCGCCTGAGCTCCGCTGGCCGCGCGGAGGCTTGGCGTTAGGTGCTGCTAGGGGCGAAAGAGGCAGGTCCTGGCAGAGGGCAGGTGAGGCGGGCAGGCCCTGGCAGAGGGAAGGGAATAACGCCAATCACCCCTCAGCCAGCGTCCCCCAAGGCTCCCGGTATATGATCCTGCCCACTAGGTCACCCTGGTTGGCTAAGTGTCCTGAGAGGAGGGAGGATGCAGCTAGCGAATGCTCACTATTATAGATTCCTGTGCCAGGCCTCAGGGATCGGGGAGACCTTCCAGCATTCTCTGCAAATGTTACTGATTAGCTACCGTGCTGGAGAGCACCGCGGTCAGCACGAGGGTCACGACATAGAATTAATCACGGCCGGAGCTTGCTGGTGAGGTGGTGAGACTTAGGCTCTGAAGTTATGCATCTAAGATGTAAAGTAGCCCTCAATTTCAGGTTTGTTCTATTCACGTCTGATCTCTCTTCCCAAGAGTGGGAGGAGATTGGAGCGGTAAGTTGCTAGGTTCGTGGCAGAAAGAAGGAAGGTCAAAGAAAGCTGGTAGGAGGAATTTAGGAGAGCTTTCAAGGGTCTTAGTGACATATAAAAGAGAGGGAAAAGAAATTTAGAAAGAGTACGTTCTCTTTTTTTCCCAGCCAGAATGAAGGCCCACGCCTGTCTGCTGTTAAATCCTCAGGATGTGGCCAGGATCACAACAGCTATGCACAGGATATTGCCCACTGCATGAATGAAAGAAGGACGCAGGGTTTGAGGCATTTTATATGGAATGGTATCAATCACTGCAGTGTTAGGGTCTTGGCCAGTGGCCTTCCCTTGTTCCTCAAGTCCTCTCTCTTTGTCTTGTGAGGTAGTCCAAGGATTTTGGCGCTAGGCATGCTAAAACGATGGGCGAGGTGACAGAGTCAGGTGGCTTGTGGCCACGTGTCCAAATCCACGTGGTTCCTGCATGTTGGGCACTAGAACTTTTTCTTTGGGTGGTTGCTTGAGGCCGGGTTCTGGTCCTTCTCTCCTTGGCCTTTTCTTTCGTTTGAGGAGGCAGGAAGGTGCTTTTGTCTAGAGAAGGTGTTTTCATTTCTGTCTTGCTTTTGAACCTTAGGTCTGAGGAGAGAGAAGGCTTATGTCTCTTGCTTCTTAAGGGCTGGAGTTCTGTGTGTCCTCTGCCTTGGTTAGACTCTCTAGCTCCAGGCTGCTGTTTTGTTCCCTGGGTTGCAGTGCTTGTTGGGTTACTTTGCTTGCCAACTTAAAACTTGACCTTTTATGAGAACTCTGAGGATTTTTATCAGACCTAAGTGGAGTTGCCTTTGAATGGGGTTGTGCAGTCAAGGTAATGCTGCCAAGGTCTTTGTGTTCCCCTGAATCTTGCCTGAGAGACAGAATTTTGACTTATAGTTAGAAAACTAAGAGTCCACAGAATTTCCAGATTTATTTTATGTCTTTGATAGTAACATATCTGAGCCTTAGTTTCCTTGTGTTAAAAATTGAGGGTACAGAGGCAGGCGGATCTGTGTGAGTTCGAGGCCAGCCTGGTCTACATAGTGAGTTCCAGGACAGCTGGGGCTACAAGGAGACCCTGTCTCAAAAAAGACAAATCACAGTGAAAGATTTATCGTCCTCTTTTTTTTTTTTTTTTTTTTTTTTTTTTTAAAAAAAAAAAAAAAAAAAAAAAAAAAAAATTGAGGATCTAAGTTTGGCATTGTATAGCAAGCCTTGAAGTACATACTTTTTTTTTTTTTTCATTTAGTACTCTGTCCTTCAGGGTGCAACCAACAAGCATCCTACTAGGTTTGGTTTTTGGTGCCTGGATTCTGCAGTTTGGGGTGCTTTGTTCTAGGCTCTTGTAGTATTTTATGTAGATACTCATTTTCCAATCAACTTTGTTTTGTTATTTTGGAAACAGGGTCTTGCTGTAGTACCGGTTGGCCTAGTATTCACCCAGGCTACAAGCTGGCCTCAAACTCATGGCAGTTCTGTCAGTTTTTGTGTGCTGGGATCACAAGTATGTCACCACATACTTTTTTAAGACAGGGACTCTTTGTATACCCCTGACTGGCCTTGAACTTGGGACAAGCCTCCTATTTCTGTCTCCTAAAGGCTGGGATTCAGGTGTGTACCACTATGCCCTTTTGATGTGTAGTTAATATATAATAATGGGCAGATTTCGAGTTTGGTTTTTTGAAAAATGTACGTACTTTGTAAGCTGTATCCCAACCAAAATGTATACGTTTATATCACCAGAAAGTTAGTTCATGCTGGCTTATAGGCATTTTATTTATTTTATTTCTCATCTTAGAAGCATTAGAGCTGTGGTTTCTAGCTGTGCACACTGTATGCTGCCCAGTTTTAGGGCTACCATTTGTCCTGGAGTCCCTGTACTCCCTAGCAGCTAGTGTCAGAATAGTCTTTGCAGTTCAGAATGCACACTTGCTTGTGAAACAGTTTAACAGAATGAAAGCCCCTTTCTATTCCTTTTCTACACAAACTGCACTTAACAAGCTTTGCACACCTTTTTCTATGCATTTTTTTTTGCACGTGTGTGTGTGGTACTTCATACATGCACATGGATGTCCATGCATATGGGTTTGTGTGTCCAAAATTGACAGTGGGCATCCTCCTCAAATACTTTCCACTTTATTGAGACAGAATCTCTTGCTGAACCTGGAGCTAGCTAGCCAGCTTGCTCTGGGGATTCCCTGCCTCTGCTCTGGAGAGCTGTTATTATAGGTGGTTGTTATTCCTGTGTAGCTTTTATGTGGATTCTGGGGATCTGAACTCTAATCCTCATGCTTATGTGGCAAGTGCTTTGTCCATTGAGCCATCTTCCTAGCTTTCTCTATGCATTTTTATTACATTATTCATAGCATACTGTCCATGTTCTGTAGCTCTTTTTTCCCAACAGATTACTTTTTTTTTTTTTTTGGTTTTTTTGAGACAGGATCTCCCTGTAGCCCCAACTTTCCTGGAAGTCCCTATGTAGACCAGGCTGGCCTTGAACTCACAGAGATCTGCCTGCCTCTGCCTCCTGAGTGCTGGGATTAAAGGCGTGTGCCACCTCATGCAATGCCAGTGGAGGTCAGAAGAAGACATTGGATCCCCTGGAACCGGAGTTAACAGACAGTTGTTAGCTGCCATGTGGGTGCTGGGAGTCGAACCCGGGTCCTCTGCAAGAGCAGTCAGTGCTCTTAACTGCTGAGCATCTCTCCAGCCCCAACAGATTACTTTTAAAAGATATTTATGGGGCTGTGGAGAGATGGCTCAGTGGTTAAGAACACTGGCTGTTCTTGCAGAAGACCCGGGTTTGAATACTAGCACCCATATGGCAGCTAACAACTGTCTGTAACTCCTGTCCTCCATGGGCATTGCATGACATAGGTGCATTTACCTACATGCCAGCAATATACGCACACACAGAAAATAAAAATAATAAAACATTTAAAAAAGATATTTATTTACATGTATGTTTATTTATGTGAGTTTATATGCACCATGCACATGTATGTTTATTTATGTGAGTTTATATGCACCATGCACATGCCTGGTATCTGAGGAGGACAGAAGAGGTCATCAGCTCCTCAGAAATTAGAGTTACAGTTATGAGCTACCATGTGAGTGCTGGGAACCAAACCTGGGTCCTCTGCAAGAGCAGCCAGTGAGCTTAACTACTGAGCCATCTGTCCAACCCCAAGATTATTTTTGAGATTTGTTCTCATGTTGGCATAGGGATCTGAGTTGTCTTTACTATATGGTCTCTTAAGCAGTATGTAGTATACTATATTGTCATGTATTTAAGTCTGTCTTCATTATGGCTTCATTTTGGCTGTTCAGTGACTGAAAAGCAGAATTGCTAGGTCAAAAGGGTGCATATTTTTAAGTTATAATTGATGGATGGTTAACCATGTTGCTACTTGTAGATGCATCTATTTCTTTTTAACTATAGGGCATTTTCAGTTGTAGCTTTAAATTGTAGTTTGTGTATCCTTTCACTTACTGAGGAACATTAGGTTTCTTTGGATGCTAATATTTTTCGATGAATATATGTGTTGCAAATGTAGCCTATCATTCTGAGGCTTTCCTTTCCTTTTTTTTAACATTGTATTTAGTTGTACATAAGCTTCAATGTCATATTTATGAGAATTTTCTCATAAGTGGCCTTTTTTGTTTGTACTTTAGGAAATTTTTCTTGGGTTGGCCGTATGGCTTAGCAGGTAAGGCTTTTGCTGCCACTCCTGACTACTAGAGTTCAGTCTCCATAATCCACATGGTGGAAAGAGAGAACTGACTCCTGTGGGTTGTTCCCTGATCTCTGTATGTTATAACATGTGGGTACCCCCCAAATAAATAAATATTAAAAAAAAGAAAAAATTTAAAAAGAAAAATTTCTCCATCTCAGGGTATTTTCTGACTTAAAAAATTTTTTTTATTATTTTTATTTTATGTGTATGAGTATATTGCCTGCATGTATGTGAGTGTACCCATGTTGTGCAATGCCACGGAGGTTAGAAAAGGGCTTTGGATTCCCCTGGATCTTGTCAGTGCTCTTAACCACTGAGCCATCTCTCTAGCCCCCTAAGCCTTATCTTTTAATTAATTGTTTTTTCCATTGATGTGTTTAGAGCAGAGGGTTCACAGCAAGGTGTTGTCTGCTTTGACTAGAGATGGTTATAGATCTGTGTGTACTGCTGTTTTCTTCTCCTTAATTATTGTTAACCCCTCAAGTACCAAAGTTGATAATGGGCACTTAAATATTTTTTTCCTGAATGGAAGTGCTTCCAGTGTTTTACTAGTAGATAGGGTGTTTCCTGAAGGTTTCTGGT